ATTTCTTAGATATAGCAAAATGCATCCGATGCCCGGGAGATGAAGAAGGGTTAGAGAAAACGTTATTTCAGCTCCACCGCGGCTTAAACATCATTTCTCTATGCTTGCAATTGATTGCTGTCTTGCTTATCTTCTATCAGAGTGGCTGGGTGTGGTACGAGTGTAGCTATGAATGCGATCTGCAGGTAAGGAACCAGCAAGCCACCACGGGAAGCTACGATAATTTCCTGTTAACGAAACTCGGGCTGGATTCCCTAAACCGGTTGGAATTCTATAGATAGAAAATAAGCTTCCGGAATTCCGGAATTGTGCCCGGGGTTAAGAACTTGTAAAAGTGGATCAGATACAGATTTTTTGCCTTTGCCCAGGCTCTCGCCAAGAAAATGCACGCGATGATCGGTGGTCTGGCGACGGTGTTGGCCATACTGAATCCAATGATCGCACTCGCCCGACCAGCCCCAGATTCCAGGTAAGCAGCTTTACACGGAAATTTCGATACTCCAATGCGTTGCCATTTCAGTACTCGTCCATTCTTCAATTGGTTGCACTGGGGGCTTGGACTGGGCGGATGGGATGTGCGAGTATTTTTTTCATTATTAACCAGGGTTGAAAAGCCGCTTCGCGACTTTTCAACCCTGGCTCCGTTTGACCCCTTTTTTTATCCTTCAATTTGCATAATTGTCCTAAATTCTGATGACAAAAAAAAATGAAAAGACAACCTCTCCATTACATTTGCATAGTCGAATCCCAACTTCTGGGTCATGCTAATTATTCCTAGCAAAGAATTTTTCACAAAAACTTGAATTTAATGTCGAAAATAGGTGATTTTGTTGAATCTATTATGCGTGCAGTCATCTCCAGGCCGTTACGCACCTAATGACGTATCATACATACCCTAAAATTCATCCCCTAGCGAGATATCCTTCGGACAGGAGACTTCTACTATGCTTCACAAATTATATGATTGCAGGTTTAACGATTCTGCTGTCCGTACCGCTCGGCAAGACTGGGCTCTACGCGACATATGGGCCAATTCCTTTTTACATAATGGTAAATACTCATGTCCAATTCCAAATTTTTCTTAAAGGCGCATAGGAGAGATCGGCATGGGTGAGGGCAGGCTGCTCCCCGCATGTTTTTTCGTTCGTAAATTTTGTTAAATCGAAAATGCTGAGCTGTCGAAAATCGAAAATCGAAAGTTTCGACGCAATTTTGATTCAATTTTTGCCGTCGGTGGGCTTATTTTAAAGGGATAACGCAAGCAGCAGTCCACGTTTTACGTGGATTCCAGGAACTTTGCCAGATTTGGGCGGTTGTGCGCTTATTTGCCTTGCCAGCGCTAATCAGCAAATCAGCGCACTAATGAGAGGATTCGAGGCTTGCAGATGTGATAACGCGCGCCCTCACTATGGCTGTCTTTTGTCAGGCTATCTTTTGGGCGGGCAAGGGCCTTTTTGGTGTCGGTTCCAGGAGTCCAAGTAACACTTAGATTTCTGCTTGCGATTTCCCTTTAACGAATTTTTTTGTCTACGGTGCTCTATTTTCGGAAACTTTTTCACGCTGCCCCCTCCGAAAAATCGCTGCTCCCCACAAAACTTATGGTCAGCTAGGCCCCTGGTTTCTTAGCTGGCATTTCCTAGGCGTCGCTTTGAAAGTTACTACTATTTCGATCAAATACCGTTTTAGTGTTCTTATCTACTGTTCTTCGTTGCCATCAACATCGCACTTCAGATAGTAACGACGAGCCATGAGGCGCGCCAAGAAACAGCCGGCGGGTCTTGGAAGCGATAGTCACGTGCCATCATTTAGAAGCCGAAAGTAGCCACCGTTTTGTCGTCGGCCACTCAGGTATGGCATTGTCGATAGTCAATGGGCCAGCTACCGTGATACCGGCCTCAAAACCCACGGTAGGTCTCTTACCATTAGAGGAGCTAGGAAGTCATTTGTCTTTGCGGGGAATAGGACCAACCCGTTAGAAAACTAAGGGATTACTGCCCCAACAAACCCCAGGAAATATCTCTCAGGCAAAAGAGAATGTGATCTCAAAAGGGTAGTGTTTTGGTATATTTTCCAAAAAGAGGAGAAATAAAAAAACCAAAAAAACAAATAGTTCCAAAAAAAAAAAAATATAGCTATTCCTAAGCCTAAAAACTTTACAAAATTTAATAAAAAAATGTAATTTTAGGTCGAAAAATTAATTTTTTTCCGCCCAAAAATGACTAAATTTTCGATTTTTGCAAGCGTTTTTCTAATTTTTTTAAAGCGTTTTTCCGATTCAAATAGGCTTAAATTTTGCTAAAAACAATGTGAAAACACTTCTATTTGATTACTACCCGCCACCAGGGCCGACAGGAAAAAAAAGTTGGTTTCCCTTCTTTTAAAATTCTCCCCCCCCCCCGGAATACACAAGAATCTTGAATTCTCCTCTTTTTGATGAAGTAAACCAAAACCCTCCCTTTTGAGCCCCTTTTACCCCATTATCAATTGAACCTTTTTAGAAAAGCACTTGTCCGTTATTTCTGCTGTTGCTACACGTCGTGATCTCCATGGCAGTTGTTATGGGCCTCACCGCCTTACTGCTCAAAAGCCTGTGGTCCCATTCTCCCTGATCTCAAATAAATCAATAATTGACAAAATTGTTATGAATAGTTCATTGTCAAGGAAAATCACTGGCTATGCCAAAACCTAACAAGGAATGGTCACAGCTCGCCATCGAATTACGAGTCGTCATTGATTTGCACATACTGATAGAGCTCGACAAGACGAATCGATCGACTCCTCAGCTGCTGATATAGTAACACCATCGTTTTAAAAGCGTTTAAAGTTTGGTCGGAATTTCGGCCTACCTTTTTATAGTTTTCACCACATCACGGTGGTCCGGGCGGCCTAGTGGCGTAGTAGGCGGCGTCTGGGGGAATCTAACGAGGTTTCTAACCCGCTCACGAATTTAATTTTCTGTTTTTTTTTGTCCGAAGTTCCTCCTGGTTTTCTAAAGGGCTTCAATAACATTGTTATCATTAACTATATACCAGGAGGCGCTCCTAGCAATAATAAAACTTCTTAAAATTTTTGAAACTTTGAAAGTTGGCAAATTAGGATCAGTCTAAAGTAAATACTTTTAATCGTTTCAGGGAACTTGGGATATGACAAGGTGTTATTAAGCAGATTGACAACCTTTAAAATTTCTCAAATTTTTTTGAGGTACCAAAAATTAATTGTCTTCCGAAGCTGTATTATTATTAGCAACGCTTCCTGGTGTATAGTTACGATTAAAGGGCTGCCGACGGCATGTGTCGATCCCCCCCCCCCCCTACATCAACAAATTGGCAAGTAGCCAACAGGGGAGAGAGCGCGCTCAGGGGAGAGACGCAGAGACATTTTATTTTCCGCTCGTAACCGATTGACTATTCCGTCGGCATCCCTTTAAAACGTTCAATTTTTATCTAGAATTATTCCTTCAAACAGAGCAGATTTTCCTAACGCTTCTGTTTACGGCTAGTTAAACCGATCAATATTGGTTGCCACTGGTCTAATAGCGAACTTCATGAGCTTCATTTTTACACCCTACATGTCCCCCTAGCTCAGCAAAAGTTCCATTTTTTCACTTCAAGGTTTTCTACTTTTTCAAAAATGTTCAAAATTTACAACGAGGGGTCGTCAAAAATCATAGAAAGCAATCATGTAATGAGTTGGTCGTTGCCGGTAGCCGATCAGATGATATCCGACGTTAATGCAGGAAACTGGCACAATATGCCTGGTTGACCGCGAAACTCGCACCTACGCAAATATTTCACCACATTAATGCCAGCAGTATCATCACGGCGATTCCCGACAACAAGATTTGAGACTCTGTAACAAGTTGCAGTTGTGTGTCTGTGTATTATGATGTACACTGCTGGACATAATTATTGTTTTTGTGAAAAATTTTCAAAATCGCAATTTCTAGGAGGTTTCGTGAAAAGTTTGCACTTTGCAGACATTCGCCCTACGACTCATCTTGTAGCATTTTTCAGGCTTTCTTGAATGGTGTATAGTTCATCGCGATTGTCAATTCCTGTGCCCCGGAATAGTGTCCTGAAGGCGCAAAAGCGCCATTTTTGGCCTGAATTCAAGCATTTGGGTGAAGTGAAGGTGAGAAAAATCTTTCGAACCCGGCTGGGGTAAAAGTGAAGTCTACCTTTAGAGAGAGAGAGAGAGAGAGAGAGAGAGAGAGAGAGAGAGAGAGAGAGAGAGAGAGAGAGAGAGAGAGAGAGAGAGAGAGAGAGAGAAAGAGAGAGCGGAGAAACGAGAGAAGCGCTGAGTTAGAGGGAGCGAGGGAAATACAGAGAGAGAGAGAGAGAGAGAGAGAGAGAGAGAGAAAGAGAGAGAGAGAGAGAGAGAGAGCGAGTGAGAGA